TGTTTTCTTCCTAAGAATAGGAATAAGGCAAAGATGCCTGTTCTTACTACTTCTAGTTAATACCTTCACTGGAAGTGCTTACAAATTCAAAAGAGCAAGAAAATGAAACAGAAGACATCCAAAATGCAAAAGAAGTAAAACTATCTGTATTTGAAGATGTCATGATCTTTTAGATATAAAATCTACTGGGATCTACAAAAAAGATACTGTACAAGTGAGTTTTACTTCAAGGAAAACAACTGAAAATATCTGTTGCCAAGGATAAAATTCAAGCTTTCAAATGTAGATTAGAATTTTAAAAAACTATAAACCATCACCAAGAACTCTTTAGCTTTCCATTATTTAAAGACTTCTGTGATAAAGTCAGAGATGATATTAACAGGAACAATTTTAATATTGTATAATGAATACATATCAATATTTGGAAGGTTTATAAAACTCAACAAACCAATATTTTTCAAATGACCAGTGAACATTATTATAAAATCATACATGAGTAAAAAAATCAAAGTATAAAAAAGATCAAAATGGATTTTAATGAGACAGTATAAAAAGTTCTTTGAAAGGGTTTTAGATTCCACATAACTAACCTGAAAAGAACTAGTACTTATTGAACTTTTGTGCAGTATCAAAAATATAATACACCTTTCCTTTTCTATTACTTCTGTATGAGGCTGAATTTTCTTCCTATACTTCAGCTTACATAAAATAGACAAATGCAGAATCCAGCTATCTACTATTAAGCCACTAATTAATGAAATTTGCAAAAATGTAGATAAATGCCGTCCTTCTGTTTTTCAGTTTAGATAATGTAGCTATTTTTGTTTAAAAAATATAGTAATTATATTAACACTTAATGGCTTTTACTATCTTATAGAGTGAATTAATAAGTACTTTTTAAAAAAATATCTTTTTTAATTTATTTATTCATTTTTATATGGTGCTGAGAATTGAACCCATGGCCCCATGTGTCCTCACACGTGTTAAGGCAAGCACTCTATCCTTGAGCTACAACCCCAGCTCATAATAAGTACTTTTTAAACAGTTCAGTTTTAATTTCCATATGGTACACAAACAAAAGCTTTCTGGGATGTTCAATAAAAAGTTTTTTTGGTTTTTGGCTGTTCTAGGGCTTGGTGGGACTTGGTGTAAGCTAGCCAAGTGTTCTACCACTGAGCTACATCCCTAGCCCCTTCCATTTCTTATTTTGAGACAGGATAAATTGTCAAGGCTGACCTTGAACTTGTGATCCTCCTGCCTCAGCTTCCCAAGTAGCTGGGATTACCAGTATACAGTACCACACCTGGCTGGGCCTCAATAATTTTTAAGAATGTCAAGAGATCCTGAGATTTAAATATGTGAAAATCACATATTTTAGATGTTAGAATGCTTTTAGTAGACAAGAGGAGATGGGATCCAATATGTAAACAGAAGTGACTTTAGATAGAAGTCTATAGTTTATATATCACAACAGATGGGAAATTAAAATATATGCATATGCGTAGGTGAATAGAGAAGTCTAGGGATCTCTGAGACATTACCAGTACTTACTCTTAAAACAATTAAGAAAATTAAGGTTCAAGCACTGGGCTGGGGTTGTGGCTCAACAGTAAAGTGCTTGCCTAGTATGTGCGAGGCCCTGGGTTTGATCCTCAGCACCACATATAAATAAATAAAATAAAGGTATTGTGTCCAATTACAACTAAAAATAAATAAATAATTTTTTTAAGGAAAAAAAAAGGTCCAAGCACTATGTTTTCTTTTGTTTTTTTTTTTATAAAGCGAGAGTGAGAGGGGAGAGAGAGAGAGAATTTTAATATTTTATTTTTTAGTTCTCGATGGACACAACATCTTTGTTGGTATATGGTGCTGAGGATCGAACCCGGGCCGCACGCATGCCAGAGGAGCGCGCTACCGCCTGAGCCACATTCCCAGCCTAAGCACTATGTTTTAAAGATACAATATATAGAAGGCTCTGGACAATAATCATCACTCATCCCATCTAAACGTTAGAAAATACAAAAAGGGATCGATGTCCAAAGCACAGAGTATCCTATCTTGACCATTTCAGTTGTTTTTCCAGAACTTAAAAAGTATTGTGAAAAAGAAAGAGGAGAGGGAATGTTACAAGCATGAGAAATAGAATTTGCGGACCTCAGAAATAGAAGCAGGCAAAGTATATATCATTCACCTTAGGATTACAACACAAAATGATGATGAATAAAGAGTGGTTTTAAAAGAATAGTAGGGAAAGTTAGGATGAGGTGGAAGACAAAAATTAAAATGTAGGAAATAGGCTTACCTGTCCACTCCATCCCAGCGATATCCAGGCCAGATATTGAATCTGTTGGGAGGAGGTGCTGGGCCACTATAGCGAGGTCTCACTAAAGAGAGCAATGAGAAAAAAGTTGTTAGTTACCTATATATTTAGAGATGAATAGAAACAGGGAAAAAAACTCTCTATATAGAAAACCCTACTGTGTTGAATCTAAACTCCCAGAAAAATATGAAGAATTTTAAATTGTATTGAAAAACCATCCTTGCACATAGACTCTATCTTCTGTAAGACACTTCCATCCAGCTCTGATAATTCCCATTAGTCTCACCTTTCTTATTCTTGTTTTCCTTGGCCTTATTCTTCTTGATGAAGTTGGCCATGGGGTCCCCCTCTCTTTCTTGTTCTCTGAGCATCCGATCCAGGTCTTCATCATCAATATAGCGGGCCAGAGGCTTCTGCATCTCCTTCATTGCGTCCTCCACATTTTGTTGCTGTTGCCGGCTCTGGGCAAGCCTGGGCAAAAAAGAACCATCCTATTTGACAATTCCACTCTTACACTGAGACAGACCACAATGCTACATTTAGAGAACCTCAGCTTTGTAGTAGCCTATGCCAAATAATAAAAAAGGTAAAATTCCCAGAATCCAACTGGAAGTATGGAATATATCAGCCTCTTGGTAAGGAAATTCAGCAGATTGAATGTCCCTTCCTGACAACAGCTTTAAGAAGCAGAAAATGACTTGTTTCAGTCACTGCTGTTTTGTTTTCCCTTTCAGTGGTACCCTTACCCTTTTCCCCACTGGGCATACAGCTCATCTCTCTCTGAGTCCTTCTCTGCTTTTCTCCTTTGCTCTAGACGTTCCAGTTTCAAATTCCTCTTCCGACCAGACTTGTCACGAAATACAGTTTCAGCAAATTGGAATTCAGCTACAAAGGAAAATTATACTTTTTAAGATAAATGCCAGGTATCAAAAGGCTAATATTTAGGAACAACATTCTATCAGATGAAATCAATTGCCTTGGATTTGTGATCCAGTTTAAGAACTTTTGCAGTCTTCCCCCCTCCCACTAGTTCCTACCAACACTGAGGTATATATTGAGGATGGTCCTGAGAACTGACAACTTCTAAGAAGAAAAGTATCACTTGGACCAACTATAGATTAAAATATGCATAATAACCAGAACTGAAATCTAATAGCAATTAAATTTAAACTATCAGAATCAATAAGCTATATTTAAAAAGAAGAGAAGCTACATGAACCTAGTTGGACTCTACACTTCAACAATTTTACCTTCAAATGCCTTGGTTTCCTGGTCCTGTTTCTTGAGCTCCTGCTGCTCTTGTTGTATGTCAGTTAACACCAACCCAGTTTTAGCCCCAGAATACATGTATGCAGCCTGTGCAATGGAAAAGGGAGCATCCAATATCAATGAGACAATGTATCAATAGGCTCCAACTACAAAATTAGTTGCATTTTTGTCCATGATCAACAATAACCAAACCAAAAACTCCAGCTTCACAGTTTGATTACTGACCATAGGATTCACAACACAGAAAAGAAGAAATAAGACCTAATTCCAAGGAAAATTTAATAGTACCATCAAGTTTAAGAGTAAACAAACACAAACCAACAATATATTAAAGGAGGGGCTAAGCATTTGTATTTCCAACTTTTCAGTATATAAACTGCACACATGAAGATTCACTTTCAGGTCACCTAACCAGAAACTTATATCAACCTCTGCTCCAAAAGACACTGCACTGAAAAAATATTCCATTTAAAGTACAAATTCAAGTAAACCTAAGATCATCAAGCAAGGACCAAATGAAAGATATGACCAAATGAAAATTTTCTACTAATTTTCACTTTGCATCAAGCTAAACTCCAAGGTACAAATGGAGTATGTATTATATCATTACATCCATAAGCAATTACATTTGATTAATATCAGATTATGTGTATGTACTAAATAACACATAAAACATCAAAGGGTTCAACTGAAATAGAGACCTTACTTTGTTCCTCTAAAGAAAGTTAGGCACAGGCTGGTCTAACCAGCCAAGACCAATTTCTCAGTCTTCATCAGAGGAAATTTACCTGAGCAAGTCTGCCATGAGAGAAACATGTACACCACAGGCTATATTGTTCTGTTTTATTTTTTTTAAGTTGCCAATAGATCTTTTATTTTATTTATTTATTTATACGTGGTGCTGAGGATTGAACCCAGGGCTTCACACATGCCAGGTAAGTGCTCTACCACTGAGCTACAACTCCAGCCCCCCATTCTGTTTTTCAACCAACTCACAAGTGCGATTCTTTTACTACTACTACTAGTGTTCTTTACAATACAATTACACAGGGTTCATGTGGGGTTTTCTTGTTCTAATTTATCAAGCTTTATTAAGATTTAAAACAAAATTGACTTTCAGACAATATAATTTATAAAAGTAGTTTCATATTTTAAGTGCTTCTATATAAAGACAGAATAGAGACCTGGATTCAGAGCTCTACAGACAAAGGCCTATAGTTCACTTTATAATAAATTTATAATGATAAATCATCAATACCAAATGCTTACTTTGTTGTACAGTGCTATAAGTTTGACTTCCACCAACTCATTTAATTCTTACAAATAATTTTATAAAGTAGATTCTAGCATTACCAACATTTTATGGATGTAGAAGCTGAGGCTTAGAGTTATCAAGCATCTTGCCCAAATTTCAGAGATAATTAGAAGCTGGATTCAAATGTGCAATTAGTCTGACACAAGGTTTGTTGTCCTAATTCGACTCTGCAAACAACCATCCTCATTTTGTTCTTAAGAAAACAGGAAGCCAGGTGCAGTGGCACATGCCTATAATACCAGCAACTTGGGAGACTGAGGCAGAAGGATTCCAAGTTCCAGGCCAGCCCCAGCAACTTAGCAAGACTCTCAGCATCTTAGCAAGACCGTCTCAAAATTTAAAATAAATAAATAAATAGGGCTGGGGATGTCACTCAGTGGTAAAGTGTTCAGTCCAAGTTTTTCTGGAACTACTAAAATGAGATTTGTGGAATTATAAAGCCCAAAAGGCTGAAGCCTCTTGGAGAATCTGGTGCTGAGCATCTCTAATTCAAAAGCCTAAAACCCAAAATGCTCTGAAATCTGAAACTTTCAAAACATCATGTTTTGTGTTTACAAGTCTGGGCTGTTATAGCCAGTCCTGCCCTCAGAGAGAAAGAAAGCTTCAGGAGACCCTTTAACTAAGATTTTCTATACTATACCAGGACCTACCCACTTTTTCTCTGGCTTGATTCTCTTTGACTGATATAAAGTTAAATGAAAGGAATTTCTCTGAGAAAAGAGTATGATATCTGGAAATCCCTACCTTCTTTCCAGGAGGCTGACTCCTTCGAGGTGGAGAGAGATCAGAATCAGAAGATTTGGTCCTCCGTTTTCTTCTTGGTGGAGAGAGGTCAGAATCAGAACTCCGGTGTCTTGGTCTATTCCGTGGAGGTGACAGATCTGAATCAGAATCCTGGTGCCCTGAACCTCGTTTATGCCGTGGAGGAGAAAGATCTGAATCAGAGGCTTTCCAGTAGTCACCTGGATAGGAAGAAGATCCAGTGCATGATTTTGATGTCTCCTAGGTGACATGTATGAAATTTCCTAGATTGGAAAAGAGCCTAAAAATTAATGAATAAATTATGGCATAGCGCTCAATGACAGAATACTTGCCTAGCATGCACGAGGCCTTGGGTTAGATCTCAAACAAAACACAGAAAAAAAGATAATCCCCTTACCAACCTAAGGTACAATATTTATTTAGTACCCCTGTGAGGAACTATACGGATGGATGACAGGGAAAAACAAAGTCAGTGACAACTTTTAAAACTAATAGGCAGAATGAGGGGTTCTATTACCAAGTAAATAGTAACTAGCAACTGTGCTAAATTCATGAGATCTTAATACACTTATCTGTGGTACCCCCATCCCACCCAAGAAAACAGGTAAGACAACTTGGAGTCATCTCTCTCTGGTGTGGCAAAAGCCAGGAATACTTAGAATATATTCTGACATTCTCACACTAAAGGATATGGAAGTATTTTAATTTAAACTTAAAATTGTACTTAGGAACAAATGAAGTAAAAATTTCATCATACAAGCTTAAGTTCTAGATAAAAGCATCACAAATCACCACCACCACCACCACCACTATCCCCTCCAAAAAAAAAAAAAAAAATGCAATATGTCTCATCAGTCTGAAAATAATCAGGCCTTCTGACCTAGTAAATCAACTTCTTGGCTTTCTAAGAGACCTATATAGAAGCAATTAGATTTCTAGGAAATCTATACAGACACAGATAAGGAAATATCCAAAAAGGGACAATAGTTTAAACATAAGGATGTTCATTAAAGGATTACAAAAGCTAAAACTAAGAAATAACCATGAATATGCACTATTAGGAACAGACTTTGGGGGGTTTTTTTGTTGTTATTTCTTCTGGAATTGTTGGGGATCAAACCAAGGTCTTGCACATGCTAAGCAAGTACTCTACCACTAAGCCACATCCCCAGCCCTTTTTTGATATTACATTACATGTGACTAAACCTGTGCACATGTAATGTAAGGGAAATTGTTAAGTCAATTTATACAACATAAAACCATTAAAAATTACAACAACATAGAGGTATTTTTAGACCTGAAGATTATGTTAAACAAAAAAGTAGTCAATATTATATATGAGATATATTTTGCACAGCAGGAGTCAACTACATCAAAAATGCATCCCCCCAAAAAAAAACCCAAAGACTCTGGCTACAACACTAGTCATGACTGCCCAAGTGACAGGATTCTGTATCACATTTTTTCTGCTTCATTATACATTTCTATATATTCTAAGGTTTCTGCAAGAAATATGTAGTACTCTTATATAAGGTAGGGAAAGTAAATAACATGACATATAAAAATTTCCCTTCCCATCATTGTAATTTTTCAATTCCCTTGAGCTCAGCCCTTCAACTTTTTAAAACTCTTCCAAAGAAACCTATTTGCATAAAGCAAATTCCAATAAAGCAAGTAAAGATCTAAAAGAAAGAACCAAAAGAATTAAGCCCCTCTCAGGGGCAGTCAGATGCTCACCTTTAGAATCAAGTGGCTTCTTATCTCCATAATGGGCTTTCGTTTGTTTTTTTCGTGGAGGAGAGAGATCTGAGTCACACTCATGTTTGATGTTCTTTGGGAGTGATGGATGAGAGGGTCCTGGCCCCTTCTGGTGTGGAGAAGTCTTACTGGAAGTTCTTTCTAGAGCTTTATTACTTTTAGTTCTGGGCAGTAAATGAGCAACATTAGTTGCCAAATCAGGGGACTCGTGATGGGCCCTCCTGGGATGCCTTGTGTCTGAGGAGTCAAAAGTTCTCCTAGTTTGGGATGTATCAGGGGAGTTGTTACAGGCCCTTCTGGAGGAAGAGATACCTGAGGAATCATGATGGACTCTCTTAGGAGATACACTTGAAGAATTATGATGAGGCTTTCTGGAGGGAGAAGGATCTGGAGAAACATGATAGGCCCTCCTGGGGGGCGAAGCATCTGAGGAGTCATGGCGGACCCTCCTTTTAGGAGATATGTCTGAGTCATCACAGGACTTTCTTGGGGGAGACAGATCTGGAGTATCATGACGGCCCCTCTTAGAAGGAGATGAATCTGGAGTATCATGACGGACCCTCCTAGGAGGAGAAGAATCCGGGGTATCGTGACGGACCCTCCTAGGAGGAGATGGATCCAGGGTGTCATTATAGGACCTTCTAGGAGGAGATGGATCGGGGGTATCATGACCAGCCCTCCTAGAAGGAGATGGATCCAGGGTATCATGATGGACCCTGCCAGAGGGAGATGAATCCGGGGTGTCATGACGGGCCCTCCTAGAAGGAGATGGATCTGGGGTGTCATGACGGATCCGCCTAGGAGATGGGTCCAGAGTGTCATGATGGAAATGTCTATGTGAGGGTACGTCTTCACTGTAACCTAAACAAAAATAGCAAAAAGTCAGATTCTCACAAATGCTCGGTCCACCCCTAACACCCAAAGTTTCAAAAAATGCCCCAACAGTACACATCTCAAAACTACTCAGAATGTTCAAAAGGTCTGCACAGCTCTCTTGCTTAGTGATAGCAAACCAGCACTCATGGGTATCTTGAGAATAACTCCTCTTATTTGCCTACCACATCATCAATTTGTAAAGCATTTTAAATATACTTTTTATATTATAACCTGGGTAAGCAAGGCAGGTATCTTTGTTTCACAGACATTTAAAAAAAAAGCTCATGCCAGGAACAGTGGCGCACACCTGTAATCCCAGCAACTCCGGAGGATGAGACAGGAAGATCACGTGTTCAAAGTGGCCTCAGCAACTTAGCCAGGCACTTAGCAACTCAGCAAGACTCTGTCTCTAAATAAAATATAAAAAATGCCTGGGGATGAGGCTCAATGGTTAAGAGCCCCTAGGTTTAATCTCAGTACCAAAAAAAAAAAAAGAAAGAAAGAAAAGCCTCTAAGTGATTTCTTAGGGTTTGTTTATTCATTTGTTTGTTCTGAGATACTAGGGATTCAACACAAGGATGCCCTACCAACAGAGCTACATCCTCAGTCCTTTCTGTTTTTTATTTCAAAGACAGGATTTCGCTAAATTGCCAAGGCTTGCCTTGAACTGACGATCTTCCTGTCTTAGATTCTCCAACAGCTAGGATTACAGTTGTGTGTCACCACATCTGGCTAGGAACTAAATAATTTCGTACCTAAGGTCACAGCTACCAAGAGGAAAAGACAAACTAGAACCCCAGTCTTCTAACCCAATTTCTTTCCCAAATCGTTTTTGTGCATAGTTCCCAGTCAGTGGCTCCTAGTATATATTTAGTCTAATTTATAGTTTGTATTCAGTCTTCATTCAAAAGGCCAAGTGACTAAACCTGTGCACATCAAAATGAAATGCTATTAAATATTTAACCCAAGTCATTGTGCTCCTTATTAAGGGGGGGAAACCACCAGAAAAAAAAAAAAAAGTATTTACTGATCATTTGTGTGCTAATGCTTTACATTACTTCATCCAATTCTCACAAAAAGCCAAGGGGATAAATATTGTTATTCCCATTTTATAGATGAGGAAGTTGATAGTCAGATAGTCAGAAGGACTAAATAATTTACCAAAGTCGTACTGCTAACATGTGGTAAAGGAGTAAACACTCAAATCCAGATCTACTTGGCACCAGAGTTCATACGCAATCTTTAAAAATACATAGTTGAAAAAATAAGTTGTTTGAAACCATCAACTTTCAAAGGTCTCACAGAATGAAATGTTTATAGCAACTGGGACATTTCTAAATTTCAGCTCCTCCATTCCCCCTATTTCTTATCATTGAGTTCCATGGCCCAAACACAAATAAAAAGTATGTAGGACCCAATGAATACTTACTAAATGAATGAATTAAACCAAGTCAGCTCCTTCACTTTGGGGAATAGGCCTATCTGATTAGAATTCACTCTAAAGAGAAAAGTACAGATGCTAGTGGAGAAACTGACAATAACCTAATCCATGAACTTGATAACTGACAGGATAATTATAAAAAGGGAGTACAGACAGAGATCAGTGAGGATATTTCCTATAATAAGATTGGGATGGAGTACTGCAACTGCAGGTGAGGCAGAAGAAAAAGGACTCTGTGTATGTGTGTGTGTCGGGGTGGGGTGGGGTGCACAGGCACCTATTTGTGTTTCACTTCTAAGACCTGTAAATATAGAGACCAGAAGATTCTTCCTGGAAAAAGTATTATGGAAAAAATGGAAATACAACTATAAGAAAAGGCAGAATATCCACTACATGTGAAAAGGAACAAACATCAGCAGAGTTAAACTATTATACAGAAACAAGATCCTGTCAGGCACATCCCAGTGACTAAGAAGGCTAAGGCCAGAAGATTACAAATTTGAGGCCAGCCTGGGCAACTTAACAAAAGCAAGAATCATATGTCTATCAACAAATATTTATTTACTTAGTCACTTTTTTTAATTGGTTAACTATCTTTTGAATTTTTTTGTTGTTCTAATTAGACATATGAGAAAGTAGAATGCATTTTGACATATTGTACACAAATGGAGAAGAAATATTTATTAAGGGCACCTCGGGGTTATGCTAGGCAAAGAGAATACCATGGCAAATAAGAGGTCTTTGCCCTTTGTGAGCCAAATTAAACCTTTTCTCTTAAAAAAAGAGGAAAAAGAAGAAGTATCTCTGCCCAGACAGATATGAACCAATTCTTAAGAACTGTAAAGAAAAAAAAAAAACAACTTCTTAAATAGGAAGTTAAATTATGAGCCTAGGGAGAGGGTCTAGAGTAAGCAAGAAGAGGATAATGCACTATAAAATGCCAAAATTTAAGGGAAGAATGGAGAAATTTACTAAAACAAATAAAAAGGACAAAAACATTGGTACTTGATCCATACATGGGTTGCTTCATTCTAGAAAAGGAAAGAAGCATTCAAACTCTCCCAACTCTGTTCCTCAGGGTGCTGAAAGATCTTCAAATGAGGACCTTCTGACCTCAGCAGCCCTAATACAAAAATATAAGAGCAAGAGGGATACCCAGTCTCCAACTTCCCATGTCTAATTACCTCTGAAGAAGTCCTGTTTTCTTTTTCCCATGATACTTTTTAGGATCAATAACACACTGAAACAAACTATGCATTCCTCTAAAAATAAAAAATCAGAAAAGAAAGACCTATCTTATAAATAGGAAATTTAGATTCATGTTTTTTTGGAACTCACCTCCCAAAAGCTTCCATTTGGCACTGGAACGAAAGGCCTCCATCTGCTTTACTTCTTCTGGCCGCTCATCCACAAACTCAGCCACCTATGGAGTAAGGACCTATGTTGAATAAATTCAATCTGTAGCCAGAGAGTTCCACCATCTTCAGAACCTGAAATTATAGCCACTCCCATTCCCAATATACACAGTGCACATATACCCATGAGATGTGATCTTAAAGAAGCATACAGTGGTCCTCAATTGTTTGCTCCACAAACATCCAATTGTCACTGTACTGGTTTAATTGTAGGTTTTTCCCCAACTAGTCAATTTCCCTTCAAAGGTTCATTTCTTTCATTACAAACCTCTTTGTATTAACCCTCCAGATACACAACTGCCACTTGTACACTAAAATTAAATTTCTTCTATACTTTTACACTCAGAGTAAAAAAACAGGCTGCCTCACTGCCATGTCTATCACTAATTAAGAATTCTGGGCCCTTATGAGACCTTCCTTGTTATGGGTTGTCATGATACTAGTTCTTCTTGAATACAACCAAAGGGAACAATTGATATGTACACAGAATTATATAATTTTTACAGGATTAAAATCATATTTGATATCCTCCAAACTGCCAAACAAATCAGAATCTTCTCCATAGTATTTCTAATAATTAGAAATGATTACTATGATTACTTGCCCAATCCCTCCCAGACAGGAAACTCACTGACCAGGAGTTCATTATCTTACAAGGAAGCCCATTTGCATTTTTGCAGTGTTAGAAAATTCTTGGTTTTATTATTTTTATTGATCCACCCTCTTGTAACTTCTTTTCCTCAATCCTAATTCTGACCTCTGATGCAAGTGATCCCCCCCTGAAAGAGTTTCAAAGATGGCTCTCTAATAAATTCTAGTTTATTAGTTTATTATTATTATGTCCTAGGCATTGTGTTTTGTACTTATATATTATCTCACTCATTTCTCACAATAATCCTGCAAAGAAAGACTTTAGGACATTGACCAGCAAACTGTGACTCAGAGTAGTTAAGTAACTTTCTCAATGTCACAAGCTAACAAGTTGTAAAACTAGAATTTAAATCCAGGTCATAATTCCCCTCTACTACTTCTCTTCTCCCAAAATCCTACTATCATTCTTCACATAACCCTGTTGTGAGATCGTTCTCTGGGCATGGACAGCATAGGCTTTCAGGATGAACGAAGATCAAAATCCCCAGCTCTGCCATTAACATCTGTGCAACCTTTGGCAAATTATTCCAAGCCTCAGTTTCCTCATTTGTAAAAGCAGGACTCAAAAGAATCCTATGAGGACTGAATGAGATTACTCATGAAAGCTTAGCAGAACTCAATACATGGTAAGTCCTCAAAAAATTATATCTACTACTAGTTATTCTTATGTGCCAGTACTACCATAGTCATCATAATTATTTTTAACATTATTGGTGATGGTGGTAGTGATCTTACAGAAACAAAATGAATTCAATAATAAAGATTTGTTTTAATCAGTGTAGGGAGTACTCTGCTGAAGACCTCCTTTTTTAGGGTTTTGAGCCATCATAAAAGCAAAAGGCAATATTATAAAAGAATATTAATAGGCTTGATTACAGAAAAAATAAAACTTTTTATAAAAAAATGAAAGGGCAATGATAAAACATCCTCTCAATATTATTACATAAATACTAAATAAATCAATATAAGAATCAAAATTTCAATTTCCTAAAAATTAGACAAAGAGGAAATTCACAAAACACAAATGCCCAAAAAATATATGAATAATTACTTATCTCACTAGTATTGAAAGAAACTAAATACCATTGTTCACTTACAATATTGGTAGATAGGCTGTTGTTTTCGTTATTTACCAGAAATTATTGGAGAAGTGAGAAACCCAGCATTTTCATATACCCCTAGTGGGAGAGTAAACTGGTAACAGCTATTGGAAAGCAATATGGGAATACAGCTCTAAAGGGCCATTCCCTCTGACCCCTTAATTTCATTTTATAGAAATAAAAAAAAAATGGATTCCTAAACTGCTTTATAAACAAGATATTTATCAAACCAATATAATATTTTAAAGCTGGGGGAAAAAAACCCATGTGTGCAATAAATAGGACAGGTTAAAATAAAAACATATAGAACTACTTTGCAACCATTAAAAATCAAAAAGAATACTTTAAAGTCTAACTAAAATATTTTCAATATTAAGTGAAAGTGTAGGCTCCAAAACTATTTGTACAATATAATCCCATTTGTATATGAAAAAATAAATAAAATGCAAGGATGTATAATCTATAAGGAGAAAAAAACCTGAAGAGCTACACATCCAAATGTTAGCAGTTGTCTCCAAATGGTCACAGTACAAGTGATTATTACATTCTTTTTAATACTTTAAACTTTCTTATATCCCAAAACATTCTATAACAAATGTATATTGCTCTAATAAAACAAATGCTGTAAATATTAGATTTGAGTGATCTGACTAAAATTAAATTGGCTCCTTATGATCACTATTTCACTTATAATTACTAACAAGCCATCTTTTAAAAATCCATTTTAGAATTTCACTAGAAACTTATACTGCCCTGGAATTCATCTTTACCATCTTTTAATATAATACAGCCTATCAACAGCTCTCTTTTTTACCTGTTTCTCAGAAATTATCAGCATTGGTTCCATGAATATACTAATGGGAGGTTTCTGGCCTGTTTTCCTCCATCTGGCTCTTATTCATCCTTCAAAACTCAATTCAGATCCTTACTCTTTCATGACTCCCAGTGGAATATAAAGTGCTCTACTTCCCCTTTGCTCTAATGGCGTTTGCTGCCTATGTGGAATTTATTTTATTGTTTGAAATTATATGAAATACAGCCTCTCATTCTAGAGTATAACCTCTAAAGTACAATATTATAAAAGAATATTAATAGGCTTGATTACAGTATTTTCTATTCATCTACAAATCTCCAGTACTTAGGCAAGAGTACACAATTTTAAAGCTTAGTTAAATCAATGAACAAAATGAGCAAATAAAAATTTTCCTCTAATAGAATCTAAACATGGTTTTAAGGTAGATTCCAACAAACTGAACCATGGATAATACTAATTATGGCTCAGTCAACATGTTGAGGAGTTCTGCCTCTCTCTTTTCTCATCTGCAGGCTGATAGAGCTGCCCATAAATAGAGGAGTCAGTGTATAGATGCTCCTCAACTTAAAATGTGGTTACATCCATTTAAACCCATCATAGGTTGAAACTATCTCAAGTCAAAAATATATTTAATAATATATTTAATAATAATATATTTAATATTTAATACACCTAACCCACTGAACATTTGAGCTCAGCAACACAATATACTGTAGAGGATTGCTTAATTCTCCTTGTAATCACATGGCTGACTGGAAGCTGTGGTTCTCTGCCATTACCCAGCATCATGAGATAGTGTCATACATGAATAGTGCTAGGCCAGGAAAAAAATCAAAATTCAAAATACAGTTTCTACTTAACATATATCACTTTCACAACACTGCAAAGTAAATAAATTAAAAAGTTGGAACCATATGCATAAGCATCGTGAAAAAAGACTACATTTAAAAGGTCTTTGGAAAATGTCACCTTTTCTCTCTGTGCTCAGCTTCCTTCTCTATAAATCTATCCCGCAATGGGAAGCAAATGAGAAGCTTACATCATTTCAAAGTGCTGACAATAGGTATAACCAAGAAATACATACCACAGGCAAATCTCCATCATCTTCCTCCTCCTTTTCTGGTTTAGTGTTGGTGATAGCTGTCCAACTCACATCATCATCAACAATTCGCATTCTAAAAGGGAACAATAAATAGATCAAAAAGGAACAGTCATTCTGGGATGCCAACCTAAAGAACGCTTATTTGTTAGGTTTAGGATAAACTTCAAAATCCTGAACAATCTAGTCTTTGTCTATATGGATTTCATCCCTTGCCACTGCCCCCTCAATTCACTACTAGTCATCTTTTGATGCCTGAAATAAGCCAAATTTCTTACTATGTCCATTTTCACAAATGCAGTTCCTTCCCTCTACCTGACCTACTCTTCTCATTCTTTACCAGGCACTCTTACTCATTCTTCAGGTCCAAGAATAAATATAATATCCTTGCATATATCTTCCTTGCCTACCCTCTTACCACTCTTAGACTAAAAATCTCTATTACACCCTTAGGACACTTTCATTGTATTTTTCCAAAATAATGAAATCAATTACTTGTATAAAGCCTGTATTCTCTAAGCTTCATTAAACTGGGACCAAGGTGTTCTTATTCATAGAGATATCCTCAAAACTCTTCAATAACTGGCATAATAGCTGCAATAAGTTCTCTATATCAATGGTTCTGCATTTGCATTCAACCAACCACAGACTGAAAACACTCAGGAAAAAACCTCATCTGTATTGAGTAGGTAGAGACTTTTTGTCACTATTTCCTAAATAATTCTGAACAACTACTGACATTGCACTGACATTGTATTAGGTACTATTAATAATCTAAAGATGCTCTGATATATGGGAAGATTTGTGTAGGATACATATAAATATATGTCATTTTATGCAAGAAACCTGAATATTCATAGATTTTGGGAAACAATCCCCAAAGATACTGAGGAATGACTACATTTATTAAATATTTGTTAGACAAACGAACTGTGATGGGAAGAGTTATTATTTGAAAAGTTAGGGGCACTTGAGAAAATAGCTCTAATCACAACTATTTAACGTAAGTAGTACTGTTCAATTTTAACTCTCATTTTAAAGATTAGGAAACTGAGACTCAAAGAGATGAAATATTTTGCCAGTAGCGACAAAGCTTAATAAAGTGGCACAGATATGATTCAAGCTCTGATATGGACTTGTTGATTCCAAAGCTCAAACTATTTTCATAGCCTGGCATTGCTCCCAAAGAATACACAACAAATCAGAGGAGAAAGAAAACAGAAAGCAAGAATAAAGCAAGAACCAAACCAGTAAAGAAAACAGACTAGTTGTGGAACTATTTGACTTTACTGGGTGTATTAGTTTCCTAAGACTGCCCATAATAAAGTACCACAATCTGGATGGCTTAAAATGACAAAAATGGCTGGGCAGCAGTACACACCTGTAATCCCAGCAACTCAGGAGGCCCAGGCAAGAGGACTGTAAATTCAGGCCAACCTCAGCAACTTAGGGAGGCCCTAAGCAACTTAGTGAGACCCAGTCTCAAAATGAAAAATAAAAATGGCTGGGGATGTAGCTCAGTGGTGAAGTGCCCATAAGTTCAATCCTCAGTATCAAAAAAAAAAGACAAATGTGTTTTCTCACAGTTCTGAAGGCTAGAAGCTGAAATCAAAAATCAAATTAAAAATCAGGTGTCTATAAAAGGCCATGGTCCCTAGGAAGCCTTCTGAGGATGAACTTTACTCATTCATTTTATGGTAGGTAGTCCAGGCAGACCTTGCTAGGATTGGCTCAGTTTAAATACAATCCAATTTCAGCTTCCACGTACACATGGCCATTTTCCCTGTATGTGAAAAACTTCCATGTTCTTAAAAGGACACTAGTCATACTGAATTTAGTACCCATCTTAATAAAGTATAATTTCATCTTAACTGATCACATCTGCAAAGATCCTAGTTCCAAATAATGTCATTTTAAGGTTCTGGACTAAGGAGAATTTGGGGAAGGGGGTACTATTAAACTAGTACGCCGAGTCACGAAATTTTCTCATTTGAAAATGAGAATATCATCTACTTCTGATAGTAAGTTAAGTTCATATATTTCAAATTTCTTAGGTGCCTGGCGCATAACAAGTGTGTAAATGTTTCCGTCAATGATAACATTTAATAGTAACAAGACACGATCATGGATGGGTCTTCGAATCCGGATAAGAGTCCCTAGGATTTAGGAACCCCCACAGGCAGGGCCCTAAATATCCAAGCACAGAAGCTTTGAACTAGCTAGAGTATTTTCGGAGGCACGACGTTTAATCTCTAGAGGACGGAAGGCTACAAAGGCGGGAAAAAAAGGAAAGTTACAGCCTGGCTTTAACACATGCAGCTGCTCAGAGGCGCTAGATGTAAGCCGGGAGGAGGCAGAGGCCAGGAGAGCCTGACGCAGTCCAAGTGGGACCCCGAGCTTAAGCAGGGGTCGCAGCGCAATGAGGCAGGCGCGCCCGCAGGATGGAGGAACCGGGAGGCGGAGGGCGGAGTTGGGAAAGGTGAGGGGGCGGCGAGCTGTCACAGGCCCCGCCCCTGCCAGGAACTCACCCCTTGCCGCCAACCCCGCCAGGTTTTGGCCGCTTTTTACGCCGCTTGCGACCGGCCTCGGGAGCCCCGTCGATGGCTGCATCTGCCCCAGACAGGTAACGCTTCAGATACTCAGCCTTGGAGAGCGGCGGAGCTGCCGCCATGGCAGCGGCGAGGGTGGGTATACGGCTCGGCGCTGGGGACAAAACTCCTGAACGCGAAACCGACGGCGGTGGCCCAGTAGGTGGAGCCAGAAGCGGAAGTGGTGGAGTAGGCTTGGAATTACCACTCTGACGCGTGAGATGTATTTCAGTATAAAGAGAAATGTGCACGCCTCCAGGATCCGCTCCCCGACACAACCTTGTTTCTTCTTTGCCCTTCCATCTGTTCATCCATCCGACGCACAGCTCTGTCCTAGCGTGAGGCCACAAATCGATCTAAACAAGACCTGTCCCCAGAGGCTTCAGTGAAGAATGTAGGTTCTGGAGTTGCAGCAGATCCAGACTTGAATACGAGCCCATAACTTCCTAATTGGACCTCGGACAAGTTTTTTAACAAAATGGGGAGAACTCAGAATGGTTGTGAGGACTAAAATAATATTACTCTCCCACTATGAGCTATTTTTACTAGTTATAAACATCTTTAAGTGGACTGGAATCTGCTCCAGTAGGCTTCCAGGTACCATTTGAAAGACAAAGTCAGAAACGCAGAATTCAATATAATGACTATAAAAACGTGTAGGTTTCTAGAACATGTGTAACTTCCCCCACGTTTGATATTATTGGTAGCCATAGTTACCTCTTGAAGGAAACTAAAATGTTGCCAATAAAATGGACATGGAGGGAACAGAGTTGTGGCTCAGTGGTAGCTTGCTTGCCTTGCATGGGTGGGGCACTGGGTTCGATCCTTAGCATCACATAAATAAATAAAATAATAAAATAAAGGTATTGTGTCCATCTACAACTAAAAAAAAACTTTTTTTTTTCTAATGGACATGGGCTGGGGATATAGCTCAGTTGGTAGAGTGCTTACCTTGCATGCCCAGGGTGGACACGGGACTATTTCAGCATAGCAAATAAAGCTGGAAACGGAATTCTAATATTCAAGTTTTAGTGGAAAGGCAAACTTTTCTTCTGTAAGGAGTTAAGAGCTTTATCTTAATTAGCTCATTTAACCCTCACAATTAATCCTCAGGCAATTTTGTTATCCTGTTACAGATGACAAAACTGAAGCTTGGAGAAGGGCAGGAAATTGCTCAACTTCACACTTGCTAAAACATAATTCTTGGGAGCAGAGGATAGCCAAATGTGCAAGAGGTAATCCACTTTTTTTTTCTGAAGTAAAATATTGGAGCTCTTTTTTGTGTCATGTTTAAAACTTTGCATTATTTTCGGCTATTGTCAAGTAGGCACTGTCATACTTTATTTTTCTTTAAATATTTACTTTTTAGTTGTAGTTGGACACAATATATTTTATTTATTTATTTTTATGTGATGTTGAGGATCAAACTCAGGGCCTCACACATGCTAGGCAAGTACTCTACAGCTGAGCCACAATCCCAGTCCCATTATCATACTTTAAAAATAAAGACACCCCTCTTAGGATTCATGTTCAAAAACATTCTTCACTTATCTAATACAAACAGGCTTGGAGATCACTGCCTTGAAGCTTGTCTTTGAGGTGATGTTTGTGATGCTGAGAATTGAACCCAGAACCTCACAGCAATTGGCAAAGCACTCTACCACTGAGCCACACCCTCAGCCCAAAGCAGGAACATTTAACTACTGGGCTATACTGGGTGGCTATAGCATAGCCCAGAAAGGAAAGCAGGATAGAGTGAGGGCTTGTGAGAAGGAGACACTGGACAGAGACAGAGATACTGGACACCTAGCTAGAGGGCCCCAAAGGTCTCCAGAAAGCTGACTTGACTTCCTGTCCAATTTGGTTTATCTTAAACTGAACTGAAATGTCAGCAGGCATTTGAAATGTCTCATTTTTCTGCTCCAATGAAAATCAGCAGTATACTCCCTATAGCCTCATCAGTCCATCTCTTTCTTGTTACTGTCTTCTTCAGTTCCAACCATTTCACCCACTGACAGCCTTAGCCTGATACTACCCAACCCTACAACACAGGGCAGTGAAGCAGGATCGGATTAGTATGTGCCCAGTGGCATGGCCTGAGCTCTGCTGTCTCCCTGCAGTTATAATAATAAATACAGTAATTATAGACTTGTGCTAAAAATATTCAGAATGCAGGTTTCTGAGTCTGACTGGCATGAGTTTGAAGCCTGCCTCAAAAAGCTATACTTCCTTCTGGAAATTACCTAACCTTGCTAAGGTTGTTTCCCTATCTGTAAAATGGGCATAATTTGTTTACTTGTAGCCACTTTTTCCCAAAAAGAACTTAAAGTAGACTTTAGAATTTTTGTGAGAATTCTATGAGAGAACACATTTATAAAGCACTTCACAATTACCTCACATACTCCTCATAAAACCCCTAGGAAGCAGATGTCACTAGTATCCCCACTTAATAGACCAGTGAACAGAAGCATCAAAGTTACCAAACTCAACTGCAACACACAGAATAAGCACGGGCTCTTTTCACAGTTGTAAACTACTTTGCTGTTAAAAGAAGTATATAACATTTTAAAAATAAAAATAAAGTCAAGTACTCTTAAATGCTACTTGCCTATGAGTGTTCTGATGTGCGCATGCTAACACACAATGGGTTGGGGAAGAGAACAAAAATTCATTGGAGTAGACAAAGGCAGATGAAGGGAAGGGATAGGAGGATGGGAATAGGAGACAGTAGAATGAATTGAACATAACTTTCCTATGTTCATATATGAATACATGCCCAGTGTTAACTCCACATCATATATAACCACAAGAATGGGAATATACACCATGTATGAATAATATGTCAAAATACGTTCTACTATCATGTATAACCAAAAAGAATTTTAATTAAATTTTAAAATTATTTTTAAAACACCACTGGCCTAGGGGGCTGGGGATGTGGCTCAAGCGGTAGGGCGCTCGCCTGGCATGCGTGCGGCCCGGGTTCGATCCTCAGCACCACATACCAACAAAGATGTTGTGTCCGCCGAGAACTAAAAAATAAATATTAAAAAAAATTCTCTCTCTCTTTAAAAAAAAAAAAAACACCACTGGTCTAACATTTAAGCTGACAACCTTCCCTACAATGTGCAATCAGCAATTGACAGGCTATAGAGTGTTGTATACTGACAATGCTATAATAGAAGTCTTCCCACCTCTGAAGCTTTCAGTTAGGCAAGTCAATCACACCTCATACTTACTCCCCAAACTCACCTCATTGCTACCACTCAGGATCATCCCAACACAGATGTACATTCAATATTTACTGTAATTCACAACTCTAGGGTATTTTAAAAAGTTTGAAATATGAAGCAGGAAGCATGTTCTCACAAATGGACCAGTTTGCTCTTTCAATATAATCACAAAGCTTTCTGCTTAAATTTTATTCTAATAGTTATAATTGAATCTAATTTTCTTAGGCAGGCATTTTGACTCCTTTGGTCTTAAAGCAGGCTCCTTCCCTTACCTTAATACCTACATGTTACCTCCAGTGCCCTAAGAAGGGGCCATCAGTACAATTCATAATCTATGGAGGATTACTTTGTAACAGATTTATTAACCATATGCCATATGCTAAAGACTGTGGAGCATGACAGTTAACTAGATATAAGCTCCTATCCCAACAGGCTTTATGAAATGAGAATGGAGTTGGGTGGGAATGGTATTAAGACCTTGGCCCTGTCAAGATCAGAAAACACTATAGTCTGGCCCCTAGTCCTGTCTGCAGTTTCAGAAACTCAGGTTATCATTTCCCAGTAACTGGAATAAACAGGGAAGTGACTGGATGAAATTCAGAAAATTGCTTCATCCCAACCAAACTTATAAAATATTGAGTTAAAGACCTTAATGCCATTATTTTCCTTCATAATGGGGCTCAACTGCACAAAGCACACTTACTCCAGGGGGAAGTCTATTCTGGCAGAAAGTCAGTTGAAAACACAAGTATCTTGGAGTCATAGGAAGCCTAATCAGAGTGTTATAGCTTTAAAGTTTGTCAGTCATTTGCTAACCTTAGTTTCCAAATACTTTTTTTTTTAAGATAGAGAGAGGAGAGAGAGAATTTTTAATATTTATTTTTTAGTTTTCGGTGGACACAACATCTTTGTTTGTATGTGGTGCTGAGTATTGAACCTGGGCCGCACGCATGCCAGGCCAGCGCGCTACCACTTGAGCCACATCCCCAGCCCTCCAAATACTTTTAAAAAACACCTTACTCATGCCTTTCCTTATAAAAATCAGATATATGTTCTGGAGTTGGACCAAAGTATTAGTAACATGCCAAAGAATTAATAGATGTCTGAAAGCAGAAGTTTAGGAAACTAATTCATTTATGGTAGAGAAGGAGGCAGAAATTCCAAATGAAGAATGACGAGAGTAAAGGAAAAACAAAGGGTGTCTCATAAGAGCCAAGAAAAGGGTTGAAAAGAGCTGATCCACTGAAAAGCAACGGAAATAGCAGAGTAGACAACAAGCACATTTTCTAGGTAGAAAATCAAGTGTGACCTTTGGGAATAGTTTTTAATAGAGATGTGAGTAGACTTCTGATTACTAAGTCATCTACAACCAAGGAGTCTTCAGTGAAGTTCATAGCACAAAATAAGGTTTGTGATAGTATCTCAATTAACTGGCCTTTGTTTGAACAAATACTCTGCACCCTGCACCATTCACCTTTTGTTCCTGAGAGGCAGCACACTACAGCACAAAGAGTGCTGGCTGGGGTCCCAAGCATCAAGTCTTCAACTTTCTAGCAACTGTAGGCAGCCCCCTATTCTACAGCTTCAGAAATTTTTGCATTTCCAATTCCCTCTGCCTGGAAATCCCATCCACCCTCCTACTGTGTTACATGAGCTTCCCTTACCTGTCTAAGCTCTGCCTAAATGTCAAATTGTCATTTACTGAAATCTTCCCTGATCATTGTATCTGACACACCAGTGCCACCTTCTCTAGCACTACACACCCCTCCTCCATAACACCAATAACCATCTGACATGCTATCCTGCTTATCCATTTATTATGAATTTCCCCCCCTAGACTTGTAAGCTCCAATAAAAGCACATTTACTTTGTCCATTGTTCTGTGATGTGCCTGGCAAAAAACAGGCAAAC